CATTGCTCTTCAGTACTTTGGAGAGGTCCCTAACAGCAGACTTTCCCATGGCAATGCGCCTTTTAATTTCCTGGCTACTGGTGCCAAAAGTGTTGACTGTAGAGCCAAGCAAACTAAAGCTGTGAACAATCTCAACCTCTTCACCATCCATCCTGATGCTGCCAATTGATCCAGTGGTGAGAATCTCTGTCTTCTTGACATTGAGCCTCAATCCATATTGGAGGCTGCAGTCCTTGACCCTCTGCAGCAGGTGCTTCAGGTCCTCCTCAGTTTCAGCAAGCAGGGTTGTGTCATCTGCATAACGCAGATTGTTGATAGATCTTCCACCAATCTTGACCTCACACTTCTCCTCATAGAGCCCAGCCTCCCGGATAATCTGTTCTGCATACAGGTTGAAAAGGTATGGAGATAGGATGCATCCCTGGCATACATCCTTCCCAATTTTGAACCATGCAGTGTTCCCTTGCTCTGTTCTGACGACTGCCTCCTGGTCCAAGTATAGGTTTCGCATTAGAACGATCAAGTGTTCTGGGATTCCCATTCTTCTCAGAGTCAGCCACAGTTTGTTATGATCCACACAGTCAAACGCCTTTGCATAGTCAATGAAACACAGATAGACATTCCTCTGCTATTCTCTGCTTTCAGCTAAGATCCATCTAACATTAGCTACAATATCCCTAGTACCACGACCCCTTCTAAACCCAGCCTGGACTTCTGGCAGTTCTCTGCTGATGTGCTGTTCCAGTCGTTTTTGGATGATCTTTAGTAGAATCTGGCTGCATGTGAAATCAATGAGATTGTTCTATAGTTTCCACACTCTGTTGGGTCACCTTTCTTTGGGATGGGAACAAACATAGATCTCTTCCAATCAGCTGGCCAAGTGGTTGTTCTCCAGATTTCTTGGCACAACTTGGTGAGCACGTCCAGGGCAGCATCTGTTAGCTGAAATATGTCAATTGGTTTTCCACTCTAGCCATTCTAAATGTGTGTGTAGGAGCCCCTGCGTTGTGCAAAGGGTAACAGAAATGTTAGCAGTTTGAATCCACTCAGAGGCCCATTGAAAGAAAAGCTTGAAAATCCCACAGACAGTAGTTCTATTCCACACATTATTTTGCCATACATTGGGATGGCCTTAGTGATAAATGAAAAATGAAAAGTTCTGTCCTAAGCAATAATAAAGTCTTACTTCTCTGGAAGCAAAGTAAGTATTCAACTGGCCCACCTGGAAGCTACTGACTCTGAAGCCTGGGAGTCACACTGAAAGTGGACAGAGGGCCCACATCCTACAGACCCATAAATTTTACTCTAGACGCTAACTTTTGTCAACTTCCCCTTGGCTCCTGACCATCACCAGTCTACTCCTGGCCCCATGCTATTTTTCTCCATGGCTGGGCTGAGGTTCACTGCCCACAGGCCAGCCAATCAGAATGACATCAAGCCAAGCAGGAAGCCAGCAGCAGTTCAGCACCAACCTCCTCCTTTACTCTTGGTGCTCCTTCCTCTTGACTGTTAATCCAGTGGTTCTAAATATCAGACCTCCACCACTGATCCTTCCTGATAGATCAGCATTTTGTGAGTGTGTCTGGGGCCCCTGTCTAGTCTCAGCTTGTGATCTTGGCCCTGTAGACCTCTTCTCTATGCAGGCTCTGGGTTACAGATCATCAAGTTGAATACATCGGGCAGAACTAGAGGGCAGGATTCTTATAAGTTGCCATGGAGGGCATCTAGGAAAGGGACCAGTGGCTGTGGGGAGGATCCAGAAGAGATGAGGGGCTATGGACACCCTCTTGAGAGAGGGTTAACTGACACAGTGGCAGAGAGAAGCCAGAGAGTCACAGAGGAAGAAGAGGTTGGCAGGACTCCCAGGTTCACCCCTCGGCAAGGAGGGCAGAATCAGAAGAGAAGGTGGTTAGGTAGAAAAGATAACAGCTTTTTCAGCTGTGCCTGAAATGAGGCGATGGCTCCTGGGGGCATCCCAGCTGTGCCAGAGATGGTTGCAAATCCAGGTCTAAAGTCAGCAAAGGATTTACTTTAAATCATAAGCTGAAGTGTTCAGGACACAGATAGTGACAGAACTCAGTGGGGAGTGGGGTAGCTAAAGATGTGTCTGAGAACCCAGTAGGGTAGGTCTGAACTCTGAAGGACTTGATTCTTTAAGAGGCAGGACTGAAAAACGAGAGATGAAGGAGACATGGAAGCTGCAAAAGATCTAAGGGGAAGGAGACAAGGAAGGGTGTCCATGGATGCTGGAGGAAAACTAGGGTCCCAGAGCCATGGGACGCAGGTGTCTTGGAGGAGACTGACCAAGTGAAAGGCCAAGAGGAGGTCTCAGAGGTTTCGACCCAAAACAGGGCTCATAGGCTGGCAGGATCCAGGCTCTGCCTGGACAGCAGCAGCTCTGTTCTCTCCCGAGTCCCTGTGAAAATCCTGGGTCTCGGCTACCTGCTCCCATAGCAAGAAGAAAAAGTACAGGCATGCCTGGAACAAGGCATTCCTCCTCACACTCAGCCATGGGAGAGGGACACTGTGCCCCCTTGCTCAGCTCCTTTATGAGCACTGGATTAAGACAGGACGAGCTCAAGGAAGAAGTCAGAAACAAGAATGGGACAGAGCTGGGGGAGAGGATGAAGAAGGAATAGATGCTGGAGAAGGGCTGGGGCCAAGAGACAGGCAGGGACAAGGCACTCACAGAAAAAACTTGGTGCTACACCTCACAAACACATTCTCAGTCTCTCTCTCTCTCACACAAACACGCACGCACGTGCAGTCTGGGATTTTCACCCTCAGGCTTGGGTCGGGGTTCAATTCACTTCTACTACAACTGGCTCTTCAGTCCCAAGAACCCTAGGTATTAAGTGAAGCCGCGCTGTGACTAAAGCAGAATGAGGACTGCACCACCAGTTAAGAGTCAAGGCCGGAGTCTCTGTTTATGCCCTGCTAAATGCTGGGCTGGGGGACAAACGGAAAAGAAACTTGCCAAGTGTTCTGGAAGAGATGGGCTAGGCATTGGGTTTCCTTCCGAGATGTGGCAAAGGATGCTGGGGTGGGCTGCTACAAAGTAGGCTTCACTCCTCTCCTGATTCTCTCCATTCATCTTGTTAACTAATCCTGACACATCTCAATGCTGGAGACACTCGTTATTATTCCCATTTTAATAATTTTTAAATTTTATTATTATTATTTTTTGTGTGTACTGTCAAATCGGATCTGACTGGTACAGGAGGAGACTGGCCCTCCTTCTCCGGCAGAGCATCTGGTGGATTCAAATCACGTACTTCTGAGATTGCAGAGCAGCTTCTTGCCACTAGGCCACCCAGAGCTCCCCATTATTCCCATTTTAAAGATGGAGAAATTGAGGCTCCAGAAGGTGGAATGAAAGCTACTGGTTCTATCTCTACCCTCTCCCACCAGCTATTCTTGGCATTCAACAGGCTGCTCTGTAAATAGCTCACCATCAGCAAGGCTTGGGAATCACACCAGAAAAGCCTTCAGATGCCGACTCAACAGAGCAAATGCACCCATCAGGTCAGCGTCTCCAGCTAATCCAAGCAGTTTCAAATCCAGTGCCGCTCCTCTCAGGTGCTTCAGTTTCCCTAAAGTCTAAAGAAAGGGGCTGGAGCAAACTCCAAATGGCAGCGTGTCCCTGAAGCTGCCTCAGTCTTCCCTCCTGTAAAACGGGGCAGATAGTCCACGGTTCTTCCAATGCTACGGTTTCCAGGGACCTGCTCCCAGGCAGACTTATTAGGAAGTGCTGACGGACAGGATCTCTTTCCTGTCCCAAACCCAAAGGGTGATTTTGCAAAGGCTAAAGTCGCTTCAGCAGTCTGCCCCATCCTCGCCCCGGGGTCACCTGCTTCCTTCAGCACACGCCTCCATCCACCGGTCCAGATCTCCACCCTCTGGAGTTGGACACTGCAGACTCAGGTGCCGACGGGGCTGTACTAAGACGGAACACTGGGACTTTCATGCAGAGGAAACACAAGCAATTCTCGAACTTGAAAGAGATCCGGAGACCCAAAGCGAGCCTCGCTGACCTCTGCCTGCGCAGTCCTGGACTAGAGCTCTGTCCCCGCCCCGTCGTCAGACCTCTTTCAGCCTCAAAGCCTTGAACCCTACCTACCTGTCCCACCGGAGCGGTGGTGGCCCATCCCGGGCTGCCCACAGAGAAGCCTAGGCAGTGCAGCGCTGAGTACTGGACTAGGGCGAGCTGGCCCAGCGCCGGGGCGAGGACAGTTTAGGAATTCCACTCCTCCACATCTTTGCTTAATGATCACTGAGCGGGAAGGAGGACCTTCCAAGAGGGAAGAACTGTGGCGTGTGGTTCCGGAAGCCCTACCGCTTTGGGAAAATTTTACGGTTCGAGTCATAGAAGACCTATGTGATGGTGCGGCAGGGCAGAAAGAGTCTGTAGTGGCTTACTTTCTACCACTTTACTGACCTGAAAAAAACACGATTCTTTTCCTGGCACCCTGAAAGGCTTGAGTTCATTGCTTTTTGAAGGGATACATCAGTTAGAAATTGCAAACTATATATTATCGACGAGGAAGCTTCAGAGTTGAGAAGCCATCCAACAAAGCTGGCAATCCCTCCGGTATCTCATTGCCGTGGAATTAATTGTAACTGACCCTCAATTGGACTTCTGAGGCTATAAATATCAGGGGAGGAGATTCCTCATCTTTCTTTTACGCAACAGCTGGTGGATTCGAACCTCAGGAGAGCCGCACACTTTTGGATTAGCAACGCTCCTCCTTATAGGCTAAGCCACCAGAGCTCCCTATGGAGGAATGTATCACTTCCAAACATCTCTGTGTTTCTGTGTTGCTGTGTATTTGGAACCTGGACGCGGAACCTACGTATCAATCTCAGGAGGGTTGTTTGACCTGGTTTGGCGTCATTGCAACCCGCCGGGCGTCGGTGACCGGCCCCTTTAAGGGGAGCCGGCTCTTTCGCTACTTAGTTTCGCGCGCCCGCCCGCAACGCCCGTGAACTGCAACCGGATCATGGCTCTGGCGGCGCGGGCGCTGTGGTCCGGAGGGCGCACGCTGGCCTGGCGGCTGGGCTGTCCTGGGCCTGAGCTCCGAACGCCGAGCCGGGCAGGCTTCGCGGGGGCGGCAGGCGGCTCGGGCCCCACAGCCATCCCCTGTAAAGGGACCTCGCGTCTTTTGGGAGCGACGGCGCTGGCCCTGGGGGGTGCCCTAGGATTGTACCACACGGCGCGCTGGCACCTGCACGCGCAAGACCTCCGAGCTGCTGCACAGGTAAGGGCTGGCTAGGCAGAGCCCGGGATGGGGTGGTGGGCTTCAGACAATCCCGAGATCTGATCTTCTTTCGCCACCCGCTAGTGACCTTGAACAAAAGACTTTGATTTTAAATCTCCAAACCCACCACTTTCCTATCTTTAAAATAGGGGAGTTCACTGATAACTGTTTCCTAGAAAGGATTTTTTCTTAAAATCGCTTCTCTAAATTGACTTATGGTAGTTCCTGGGTGGTGCGAACTTTATTGAACACTTGACTGCTATGGTTTGGACCCGCTCAGAGGCACTTCAGAAAGTAAGGCTAAATCCAGAAGTGCCTTGAAAACTAAGCCTGGAGATCAGCTCCTGAAAGCACAGCCTTGGAAATTTCTTGGAGAAGTTTTACTCTGCAGCAAGAGGTTGCCATGAGTTGGCACTGGCCTCTGTACAGCTAACAGCAAGACTTTCTGATTGAAAAATGCAAGATCATACGAAAGAGAAAGTAATTGTCAAGCTCTCATTTACCTAACGTTTTACCCACTACGCAGTCACTCTCAAATCCTAAGGTTGTGTAACTATTTAGTATTTTCATGATATTGGTGCTATTATAACCTAGATGTAGAGACAGGGAGGAGCAGGGAGGTGCCCCATCAGCTGGGTTCTGGGCCTGCTTGAAACACTTTGGATTATACCCAGCACATATAGGAACCTCACTTCTCCCCTCTGGCCCCACCACCCTCCCACAGGTGCTAGTTTCCTGGACCACAGGAGTAAGGGGCTGAGTGCAGGGGGGAGGAGACTGGTGGTTCTCTATTTCTTTGTCTATCTTCCTGGTCCTGGCCTCACCTATCTGGGATCTTGAAGGAGGTAATCTTGAAGGAGGTAATCAACAGCTGTAGCTTTAATTATGAATTGCAGCAAACTCATAAAAATGCAGATTCCAACCCTAAGGGCCACCTACAGCTCTGCCCCAATGGAGATTCAAGGCAGACCACACTCTGGCAAACACTAATCTTGGTCTAGGGAGTGTCTGTGGGACTGTATCCTAGGTTGAAGCCTTTGTTGTGCATTTAGGGGCCATAGCCTGAGACCTCTGTTGCCCAGTTGGGACAGGAGGGAATGGAGAGGTAGCCTCTACTGTTGGATAGAAGCAGACACTCTTACGCAGACCCTCAATACTGCTCAGCTTCCTGCCCTGGGAAACTTGCTTGCTGAGGACTTGAACTGTCCACTCACATGAGCCCTCATCTCCTGCCTCCCTTTCTCTCTGCTACTTATCCCTGATTCCTCTAGATCCTCTCAGGGTCACTTCAGAAGACTTCCAAATAAGTTTGGCTGGGGTCTCGTTTTGGGACATCGCCCACTCATCTGCCCCCGGTTTTCCTCCCCATCCAGCTGTCCCTGTCGAGTCACCTGCAGCTGACCTTGTACCAGTACAAGACCTGTCCCTTCTGCAGCAAGGTCCGAGCCTTCCTGGATTTCCACGCCCTACCCTACCAGGTGGTAGAGGTAAACCCAGTGCGCAGGGCCGAGATCAAGTTCTCCTCCTACAGGAAGGTGCCCATCTTGCTGGCACAGGAAGGAGACTCCTTGGTAAGTCTCAGAGAACTCCTCTCCAGCCTTTCCTGTTCTTGATTGGTTCTGGAGCCTGGACAGCAACAGGCTTGCATTAGGCACTCCAAGTCTGTCTCTGCTCATACTTATTTCCCCACCAACACCATACAACAGCTCGGTCTAAGTGAGACAGAATACCTGGCATGTAAGAAGTGAGCGGTGAAGTCAGGGCAGTGTGGGTTCAAGGCCTGATTGCTGCTCAGTGGCTGTGTGACTTGGGGTAAGTCTTAGCTTCTCTGGGCTTATCTTTTTATTAATCAACTTGAGCATCGTCTCTAGGTTGTAGGGATGGTAGATATGAAATGCCTAGAAGGTAGCTACTAGGAGCCCACCTGATCTTCAGTGCCCGAGAGGCAGGGGCTCAGACACTGGCTTCTCCTCATGCTCTCTTCTGATTAGCCGTACCTGGGTCTCTCTTCCCCAGGACAGCTGTCTTGGGAGTTGTTGAATGAGGAGAGGCATAGAGGCATCTGACTTCCACTAACTGCAGGGGGAGTAGTCCTCATCAGCAATATCCACAATACAAAACCAGTTCCCAGGAGATCAGACATGTTCCCCAGGCTCCCACGCCTGCTAATTGTAACACCAAACTAGGGCTATCGCTACTCTACTACTGTATCTGAAATCTGTTGCAAAGGTCACACAGACCTCACAGAACTATACTCCACAATTAGGTGATTTATGAGGGAAGTTAACAGTTTACAGCTTATGTTGGCAAAAGGAAACAAGTTCTTAGTCAGGATAGCTTCTTAAGTGTGCTTATAGGCCCTTGAGCCTTCAGCCTTGCAGCTTCAGGCCAGTTTCACAGAACTCTTGTTGTTAGGTGCTGCCGAATTGACAACAACTCATAGCAACCCTATGAACAACAGACTGCGCCTTGCTCTATCCTGCACCGTCCTCTCGGTCCCTGATACACTCGAGTCCATTGTTATTCATAGTCACTGTGTCCATTCATCTTGTTGCACGTCTTCCTCTCTTTCTCTGTCCCTCCACCTTTCCCAGCATGGTATCTTTTCCCAAGGACTGGCTTCTCCTGACAACATGCCCAAAGTGTGTGAGACAAAGTCTCACCATCTTTGCGTCTCAGGAGCACTCTGGTTGCATGTCCTCTGACGCAGACTTCTTTGTTCTTTCGGCAGTCTGTGGGATATTCAGTACTGTTCTCTTCCACCACAATCCAAAGGCACTGATTTCTTCTTCAGTCATCTTTGTTTATTGTCCAACTTGCAGATGCATACGAAGCAATTGAAAATCTCCCTGCCAGTCCTCCAATAAGCTTGAGTAGAAGCCCCAGGCTCTGTGGCAGTCCCAGTTAGCTCTGTCTCATGTTGTTCTTGGTTCTCCATTGTTGCTGTTGCCCATGATGTGACTCATGGAAACATCTCTGGCCCTGGAGGATATTTGCTTCATTCTCTGATTTTTCTTCTTTGTTTTGGTAGTGAAATTCCCAATTTCTGCCCCCGCACTGGCTCAGTTTAAACCTGGTGAAATGGTGGGACTAGCCAGTGCCCTCATGGGTGGGCTGTATACCCCATGTGTATGGTCCTGCCCAGCCATGCAGTGAAAGTCCAGAGCAGCAGCTGAGGAAAAGCTGTTTTGAGCAAGAAAGCCATCACACCCCAAACCATTTCCCTTCCTATTTGAAGGATTTACTTTCCCCTGCCAATCATCTTACTCATATCTGCAAACGTGAAAGCATGTAAGTCAGCTTTGTCATGCCTTATGTCTTATATGATGCTGGCTCCCCATGTCATCTGCAGGGTGGGTGGAAAGCCTAACAAGGCTGGTTCATGCCTCATTCCTTTATCTAGATAGTCAATTTTGAAATTATTTGAATTGTGGTGGTGGAGAAGAGTTGAATATCCCACGGATTGCCGAAAGAACAGTCAAGTCTGCCTTGGAGGAAACGCAACTAGGGTGCTCTTTAGAGGCAAAGATGGTGAGAGTATGTTGAGGATGTTGTCAGGAGGGGCCAATTGCTGGGAAGAGTGGAGGGTGAGAGAGAGAGAGGAAACCCCTCAAAAAGATGGACTGACACAGTGCTTGCTCTGGCAGCACATATACTGAAATTGGAGCAATACAGAGAAGATTAGCATAGTCCTCCCTGTGCAAGGATGACACGCAAATTCATGAAGTGTTCTGTATTTTTAGAACTTGAAGATGTTGAGGAAGTGTGATCCTCTCTCAGAACTTAACCTGGGACAATTTCATTTCTCCTTGTTAACCTCAAATTTTATTCCGAGGTCCTGTTCTTCAGAGAATCTCCAATATATGTGAATTTTTAAATAAAATGATGATTGCACATAAAGGCGGTTCTGAAATAGATTTTTTTAAAAGAAGGTGGATTGACAGTGTATCAGTGGCCTCCAGAGGCTGGTGATAATGGCTCAGGGTAGGGCAAGGGCTCAGACCTGTTGTCTCTAGGGTGCTGTAAGTTGTAGTCAATATCAGCTGCTAATAGGAATCAAACCTGTATTCTTAAGAAACAAGCGTGCAAACAATGAATGAATGAAAATCCAGAATCTCTGTAAATGTTCATTAAAATTAATAAAAAAAAAAAAAGAAACAAGCATGCAGTAAATTCACTTGCAATTTTATTTTCTATGTTTCTCAAGATAGGTTTAGGTATATAAGAAAATCATTCCTTGTACTGGAATCCCAGAGGTACGCAGTTCAAATCCACCAGATGCTCTGCTGGAGAAGGAGGGGGCAATCTCCTCCTGTACCAGTCAGATCTGATTTGACGGTACACGTAATTATAATATAATAAAAATTAAAAAGAAAAAAAAATAATTCTTTTGTCTTTAAAACTCTTTAAGCCAGCACCCTGGTTCTTTGTTCTGATAAAAGATGAATGTAAATCCATAGCCTAGGACTAAAAAAAAAAAAGTTATTTAAAAATTAAGCTTCCCTCAGCTCCTGGACAGCTAGTAATTGCTTACATAAATAAGTAATGCTCGTGTTTACACAGAAAATAGAATTGTAATACCTGAAAAAAAAAAGAAACAACAAGCATGTTGTTTTTTGGAAGACTGTTTTCTTCTGGTTGGAATTCTAAACATCTATGTCTATAAGCAAAGCCATTTTAAACAATGAGCCTATGAAATCATGCGGGTGGAGGCTCGGGCATGGTGGAAGGAAGAGGGCTCATTGTATATTGGATTTCAGGTTTAATCTCTGTGGGTAGACTCTCCTTGTATGGGGTGTCTGTTCATTGGTTAAAGCACACCCCGTGATCCTGCTGACGGCGAGCCGAAAGCTGCTGAGCTAACCCAGCCTCTTTTCTTCCAGCAACAGCTGAATGACTCCTCTGTCATCATCAGCGCCCTCAAGACTCACCTGGTGTCAGGGTAAGGAGCCCTTGGAGGCCCGGGCTGGTCATCGAGTGTCCTCTGATCTCTTGTCTCCACGGAGGCCTCAACTGAGTTGCATTTGTGGAAGCAGGGTGGGGCTTCAGCTTGGATTCAGGAATGATCCATGGTGTCTAACACCCACCCCTTGTCTCTGCATATCTCCCTTTGTCAGGGAAGTGCTCCTGGGGTCCACCCCAAGTCTCTGTTGCTACAGGGCTTCCCCTGTCACCTGCATGATGGGGGAGTGACTTCCAGCCTTCCCCCAGGACTGGGTTCATGCTGGGTGGACAGAAGGCTACGTAGGGCTTAGTCTTCTTCAGGAAGGAGTTGGGTTGAGTTTTTGGATATCTTCCAAAGGCAGCCCCTGGAGGAGATCCTTACTTACTACCCACCCATGAAGGCCACAAATGACCAAGGCAAGGAGGTGACCGAGTTCTGCAACAAGTACTGGCTCATGCTGGATGAGAAGGAGGCCCAGCACATGTACGGCGGGAAGGAGGCGAGGACGTGAGTGCAGCTGCATCTGGCGCACAGGGGTGGGATGAGGGGAGCTGGTGGAGGCAGAGGCTTCCTCAGAGTGGAACTCAGGTGGGTGGGGGGCCGTTGTGGTGGTCAGGGGGACCGTGAAGGCGGAACAGGCAGGAGCCTGGACTTAGTGTCAGTGAGAAACTCAGCTCCCCATCTATACCATAGTCCCTCTTGTCAGTCTGTCCTGCTCTCTCTTCGCCCCCCTGCCCATAGTTTGGGTAGTCCACCTGGTTTCACCCCTCAGCAGGCCTGGAGGGCGCCACAGGAAGGACGGGCAGTGGTCCACCCTCCATCTGCCTCTTTCCTTCCTCACCTGCAGGGAGGAGATGAAGTGGCGGCAGTGGGCGGATGACTGGCTTGTGCACCTGATATCCCCCAATGTGTACCGGACGCCCACCGAGGCCCTGGCCTCCTTTGACTACATTGTCCACGAGGGCAAGTTTGGGGCTGTGGAAGGTGCCATAGCCAAGTATGTGGGTGCAGCTGCAATGTACCTCATCAGCAAGCGACTCAAGAGCAGGTGATAGTTCGCGCGCGCGTGTTTGTGCGTGTGTGTGTGTGTGTGTGTGTGTGTGTAGCAGGCTGTGCTGTCCCAAATCATTGGACCCCCCCCAAGACTCCTAGCTTCAAGGACTGTTGTGTTGGGCTGCTGACTCTGTCAGTCCTAAAGATTATCCCCTGAAGCCCCTCAGAATATTGATAAGAAACTAAGGCCCAGAGAAATCCCCAAACTCATTCTATTTTTTTTTTATGGTTTTAATAAACAGAAATTTATTCTCTTAAGTTTAGGAATCTCGAAGTCTAAATTTGAGGTGCTAAGGGAAAGGCCTCTAGTCAGTTCTAACAGAAGATTCTTGTTTTCTTCCCCATCACTGGCCTGGCATTCCTTGGTGTTGAAGAACTTCTAGCACAGCAGCTTGCTTCTCCCAGGCTCATTTTAAACCATGCAGCAGAGCCAAGGCTCAAATCCAGAACTTCTGATTGCTTCCTCCTCTGCAGAAGCTGGAGACCTTGATCCCTCCCCTGAGCCTTTCTCTGTCTCGCTTGTAGGCCACCTTGGTCCATTGTCTTACCCTTCCTAGGCCATTGTCTCCCCTTATGGGGTCTTTGGGCTCTACAGATGTGATGTCAACACTTAGGGTACAGCGGTGGGATCCTGACCCCTAGGCCTTTCTGCTCTCCTGAGAGGAGGCCTGGCTTCCCACCTGAGGGGCAGCACCTCCCCTGAAGGGCTTTCTCTCCACCCTGCCCAGGCACCATCTCCAGGACGACGTGCGTGAAGACCTCTATGAGGCTGCCAACAAGTGGGTGGCCGCAGTGGGCAAAGACCGGCCCTTCATGGGGGGCCAGAAGCCGAACCTCGCTGATCTAGTGAGTGGTGGTGGGCATTGGGGAGCAGTCAGCTGGAGGGACTTGTTTGGGTGTGGGGATCTGGGCAGAGAAAGCCTTGGAAATGCTGAGATCCAGCAGTGCCCTCTGTTGTCAGGGGCAGAAACCCTGCTCAGAGTGGCTTAATGAAAAATGAACCCTAAGCCTTTAAGCATCCATCCATTCCAGTTCAACAGACAAAGCTGGGCATTCTCCTCCCATTTCCTGAGATACCCAATAGAGGGTCACTGAGTCGGACCTGACCTGACTCAATGAGTTTGAATTTTTTTTTTTAGAAAACTTTTTTTTATTACTTTTATTACTTTTTTGTGTGTACTGTCAAATCGGATCTGACTGGTACAGCAGGAGATTGACCCTCCTTCTCCAGCAGAGCATCTGGTGGATTCAAAATGCGTACCTCTAGGATTGCAGTGCAATTTCTTGGAGTTTGAATTTATTTTTAAGCATTCGTTTATGGAATGGACAGATTCAGGGGTTAGCTTCAGGTATGGCTAGATCCAGATCCAGGAGTCCAAGGAATGTTACCAGGGCTTGAGCTCTCACTGTCACCACCTCTCAAGCCTGCTTTCCTTGGAATTGGTTCTATCTGAAACAGGCCTGGGTCTGGCACCTCCAGGATTCCAACCAGAAAAAGTCCTGGAACAGCATCTCATGAGACTGGTTTGATGCCCCTCCCTGAAGAAGCCTGGGTTAGAATACATTGACAGACCAGTCTTGACCAAAGTCTCTTGGCCGAGGGATGCTGCCCAGAAAGGGAGGCATGGGTGAGAGCAGGTAAACCCTACAGCCATATTCCATTCCTCATTCAAAGACTGGATGTGGAATTGAAACTCAGAGAGGGCAGATGACAGGCTCAGACTCAGCTGGCAGAGCCTGGGGCGGGTCTAGGCAGCTGTGTGTGTGTGCTGTGTGCCCTGTTCTGAGATTCAGTGACAGTTCTGTCCTCTTCCAGGCAGTGTACGGCGTGCTGCGTGTTATGGAGGGTCTGGAGGCCTTTGATGACCTCATGCGTCACACACACATCCAACCCTGGTACCTGCGGGTGGAGAAGGCCATTGCAGAGAACCCCCCAGTGCACTGAGCATCCCCTTCAGGAGGAAGGCCACTGAGGATGCTCGTTACTGGCTGTGGGAAGCCAGGACCCTCGGACAGTGGCGTTGGGACAGTTCTTGAGAGCTGTCGAGGACAGCTCTGTTCGTCCTCTTGGTGGTCTCCTCCACCTACTTGGTGGTCTCCTCCACCTACTTGGTGGTCCCCTCCACCGTTGATACCTGAGCCCCCTTGCTTCTAATACTGAACACCCAAAAGGGCCCCGGACTGCTAGATGATAAGGCCCTGGCTTGATTTCCGTTCAGCAGCAGCCCTCCTTTGAACCATGGAGCTGCTGCCTCCTCCCCTCCCCTCCAGCCCAGCAGAGGCCGCCCACCTGGCCCCTTGGCTGAGCCCTTCGGCTGTTCTCCTGAGGTTCTCAATGCCTGCCCTGTCCCAACCAGCCAGACTCTGTGAGTTGTAACCAGGGGGGTGGGCTCTGGCCCTAGACTCAGAAGGAGGAGAGTCTGTTTAAGAGAGAGCCCTCTCCCAGGGCTTAGGGGTAGAGCAAAGGGCTCCCCTTGAGCTTCTGTTCTTCCCAAACCCCACCCAGGACTGTGTGTCTCGTTCACAATAAAGCAGGTTTGCAGCACCTCTTGTGCTGGGTGCTGTAGTGCCGTCTGAGTGGCTGAAAGCTGCAGTACGTCTTTTGGTCTAAATGCTGTGGCTTAAGGCCCTGCCCAGCCAGTGGTAACTATTGTTTGGCCACTGATTACTGTCATGCATGGGGTTAAAGGCTTAGCAGCATGGTCCACATAATCCCTTGATCTATGCAGCAAAGAGGGGATGAGGAGAAAGCCCTGCCCCTCACTGACTGGGATGCTGGGCATTGAGCAATCCTTTCTGAGCCTCAGTTTTCTCATCTGTCAAGTGGGCATAATGGTAGCCTTCATCTTGTGAAGAAGATGTGAGGGTTTGGTGGTAAGAAGAAATCAAGCACGTAGAAAGACGCCCGACTCAGCAGGCTTCTAGTCCAAGGGTTCAAGGTTGTTCAATCCCTGCTTTGCAGGCTTAGCCTTCCCTAGGCTAAGGAGCTGGGTCCTGGGGAGAAGCCAGTTCTATGCATGCAGGGTGAGGGTAGACTACCTGCCAAGGGCTCCTGTTCTACTCTCAGCTGATGAGGGGAGCATAATAGCCTCCAAGGCAGCCCCCCGAGCTAGGCTAGATCCACTGAGCCAGACCTCCCCCAGGAGGCCCTCTTGATTAGGGTGACCAGACAAACCAAGCAGACCTTGGGAAGGCTTTTTTCCTTTTAAAGCAAAATGAACATGCTTTTAATTACAAACATTCAGATGAGGTGAAAGCATGTGATGAGTGCTCTGGAGGCAGACGGTAACTCCTGTGGAAGAAAACCAGCTTGGAGTCAGCTGGTGTTGCAGACTGAAAGATGTCCTCCGAAAGTTGTGTGTGCTTGTAGGGTGGTTGACTGGGTCATGCTGATGAGGCAGGATTAATGGAGAGGATAAACGAGTCAATCTGTGAGCTCTTCAGAGATGAGACAAGTGAAGAGGGTAGACACAGGGTGAGATAGATACCCAGACACATAGGTCTCAAAGGAACAAGAAAGCAGAAGCTAAAAAGGAACTTCAGAGCCCATGGGGAGGGAGAGCATTCCCTGAGAGCCCCAGATTGGCCAGGTGCCCCTAGAAGAAGGAATGGTGGGACAGCCCCAGATTGGCCAGTGCCCCTAGAAGCAGGAATGGTGGGACTTCAGCTCACATGCTGTGGGCATGTTATCAGGAGGGGTCCCTGAGAAATTACTTCAGCCTTGGAAAAGTGGACGGTCAGTGAAGAGATGACCCGCAGTGAATGGGTTTAGGCAGAGCAGAGATGGTGAGGACGGTGCAGGATCAGGCTGGGTTTTGTCCTCTTGTACCTTGGGCTGCTGTGAGCTGGAGTCAGCTCAGTGTCCTCTAACAACAGCAGCCTAAAAACAAATTTCCGTTTATTAAAGGCCCACGCTTGTAGCACTTCTGTTGTAGGTCATTAACATAGCTGACCTCAGTTTCTCTCACAGGATCGGTCTGCCACTTGCTTTGTCTGAGTTCCGGCTGTAGTGTCCCTCCTGGTCAACCCATGTGGCTCCTGCTTCCTGGATACAAGATAACCTTAGTTGTGGGGCTCCACATGACTCCTCCTTTGTGAATATATACCCTTTGGGAGTAACAGAAACCAGGCCCAAGAGCCTGTGGGGGAAAAGGAGAGCAGTGAATCCCTCTGAGGGGCTGACATGTTGGGGTGTGTCTGGAATGTTCTGGTCATTTGGTCAGGCCTTGGGACCTGTAGCCACAGAACCCCCCTCAGGAAAGCAGGGAGCTGGCCTGGAGCACTATGGGAACTGATGGCCCTCTCAACAGCCTGTTCCCTTCTAATCACAGACTAGCATTTCCTGCCACCCCCATGAAGGGGAAGATGAGACACACTTGGTACATTTTTAGCTATACAGGGAGACCTCTTTCTCTGTGTCACTTACTTCTCTTTCCACCTCTGTGTCTGTCTCCACAGCCATAGAGGGAACATCTGATGTGGCCTGCTTGGGAAAAGTGTCCACTGTCTATGACACACTGGCCCGGGAGGCTCCCACTGCCCACACCCCCAACATGCACTCCCTTTTCTTTCTGTGGTTCCTGCTCAGTCCAACAGCTATCGCTCCACTTGAAGTCAGGCCTTAGCTACCAACTATGTCCTTGTTTTTCTTTTTACCGACTCAGAAATGTTTTCTTCTTTCATTTCATGTATGGTTGGTTGGCTTAGCCATGTCTGGAACAAGGGCCTGACTCCTGAATGGGCTTCTTTCCAGGGCTGGCTACTTTTGGCAGGATGGACCCTCCGCTCCTGAGTGGTCATCTTCATTCCATCTAACCAGATCCAATCCCTGTGAGAGGCTGGAGCATGGCCAGCCAACCTGAGGCCATCAAAGTTGTTGGGTACCATCAAGGTGGAACCAATGCGTAGCTGATCCTCCAGTGGGATTCAGAGGCAGTAAATCAGTTGAGATTGCTTTTCTCTCATGAAGCAGCTAGTAGATTCAAACCATACACCTTTGCATTGCCAGCACAGCTCCTCACCACTAAGCCCTCAGAGCTCACCTCCAAAAGTTAACAATCTGGCCTCAGTTTCCCCCCCAATGCTCCTCTACCTTGCAATATGTTTTCCCCCACAACCACCAGAGGGCGATAGTGTCCGCAAAACCGCAGAGTGCCCGTGAGCTCTGGTGCTGCCACTCTGTGGCTCGTTTTAGGACTGCATCTCAGCACAGATTAGAGAAAGAATGATTTAAAGGGGACATATGAACGGGTATTCTTGTCATTACAGAAGTCCGGAGTGACTGCATAGTGGAGTGGACTTGGGGGAGGGATTGCATAACAATGAAAGAGTTTTTCTTTTTCTGTTAAAGAAGAGTGATTTGGGGGGAGGGAGTGGGCAGGGAGAAAAGTGCAACAATGAATGGCTGGAAACCCTAAGTCTCTGTAAACTTTCATTAAAATTAATTAAAAAAATATTGCATTAAAAAAAAGTTGGAAATAGAATTACCATTTGACTCAACAATTCCACTATTGGGAATATACCCTAAACAAACCAAAACTGCCACCCAAACACATATATGCACACCCATGTTTATTGTGGCTTTGTTCACAACACCAAAGAGCTGGAAACAACCCAAATGCCCATCAACAAACAAATGGATAGAGAAGCTGTGGTATATTCACACAAGAAGATGGAACCCTCCCAGATTCATTCTATGAAGCAAACATATCTTTGATACCAAAGCCAGGAAAAGACAGCACCAAAATAGAAAACTATAGGCCAAT